CAGAGTTGATTGGCTTCCAAACCAGACTTGGCAGAAGTCCATCCAGATCGCAGGCCAGTAAGCGGTGTCTTGGGTAGGTCTTGATCGTAGTAGGCGCTCATTCAGTAAATAGGCATTGAGACTCTGCAACAGACCAGCCCAGCGCTAGGCATCAGGCATGTGTGGAGGAAAAAGACATGGCTTCATCATCAAACAGGCGACAAACGCCAGTAATAATACAATAGGTTAATTGTTTGTGAGCTACATGGGCTACCGGAGAAGGAGCATAGAAGTCTCTCTAAACCAAAAACTTCATTCATGTGCCTTGCCTGGGTCGAGCTGGCACTGCCTTCCCTTTTCTATAAGCCCAATCCAGGGAACTAGTCCTCTGGTACTTTGTACGTGTGCATGGAGGACAGGCATGCAGCATCTCTGCTGCCTCAGATAATTCAGATTTATGTCCAACTGATATTTCCAGTGGATCACTCAATGCCAAAAACTATGCTAAGCACTTTCAGATAGATATGATTACTTACCCTTCACAATGACCTTGATTATGCACAAGCCACACGATTTTTGTTGAGTTTCATAACTAAGTATCATCTATCACTCTGTACTGTTATTTAGCAGTCTGACCTCAATTCACACCACCACTCCGGGCCTCAGTTTCTTTATTTGTAAAAATGAGGAGGTTATCTAAGGTCATTTCCAGCTTTCAACATTGTGTTTTGTGAGTTCTCCTGCCAGCATTCATTGGCTTGATCTCTACAACAAAGCTGAAAGCAGATTATCAAAGTCAAGTCCACAGGAAGCCTGCTGGGTGTTAAGGCAGCCTTGCCTTGCGGATAGTTTAGAAACACTTACCAGTCTGCAGATGATTATTCCCACTGCTGATTACCAAGTATCATGGCAAGGTTTGGGATTTGACGGTAAGAAACAGTACAGATCCAGAAACGGCAGGACCTATCCTCAGGAGCTTTGGGGAGCTTTTAATATAATTAATTTTTTCATTTGCCTCACCCTACCCCCACCAGCAGTGGCCTGATTTCTTTGTGCTGAGTTTGTGTATTGAGACCCAAGAAAGAAGCGGGGGCGGGGCGGGCCTAGGGGGTGGGCTATCTAAGGAGTCAGGAGACCTGCATTTTAACCCAGCAAACACCTTGCATTCCCAGAAGCGGTGCACACCGAGGTGGGATGCAGGAAAGTCCACCACGGTACAGTCAGTAGTAGTGTCTGTAGGAAATGTTAAAACAATAATAAAATCAGCTAAAAGTCAGTCTGCTTTTTATGCTCAACATGCTTTGGCAATTCTTAGCCATGTCGGTGATAAAAAATATTCCTCCTTGACGATACTGATGTCTCCCACTGTCCCATTTAGTTCCCTCCATTCTTGGTCACTGCTGCTCAGAGGGAGAAAGCTGGGAATCTCAAGGGCCTTTCATTTACCACATCCCCAGGGGCTCCCTGCCAGATTGCAGCCGAAGTCATAGCTTCCACCCACAGCTCCGAACATGACACCCTGCCACGCAGTACTCCATGGGCTTTGCCCACCCCTCCTGACCAAAAATGGATTTCTACTCTTACCTTCTAACAGTCTGACTGAGATTGAACATCTGAGTTCCTGCAGTGAGAGCTGGCTTCATGGGCCTGCAATCTGTGCAGTGGCCCAGGATCCCGTACTCAGGAAAGGGACCTCACTGAACTCAGGGTGCAATGCTCTATAGTTTCTGTCTTGGAAGTCTTAGAATTTTATCTCTGAAATGTGTCTTGTATGTGCAGTGCAATGGGACAGTGGAGCATGCACCTAGAGACTTGGCTTATTGGCTCAAATGTGGTCACACCTCTTGCAGCCAACCCTGCCCCTAAATAAGTTTTGCACAAGGCTTTGTACATAATGTAGCTGGTTTGGCCTTCAGCCACCCCCCCTTTCAGCTCTGACTCACTGCACCTAGACCTCCACCCCCACCTTGTATGTGCTGTGGTGTGGACACCAGGGAGGGGCAGAGACACAAACAGGAAGGAAGGAACTCTTGGTCTCGGAGAAGCATCTAGTGAAGAAACCATGTAAGATGCCATACCTGCCACCATTGCCACTCAGAAAAC